TTTGTAATTATTACAGTCTGCCCTCGTTATAACGTAGTGATCGGGCCGGAAAATTTTATCTCTAATAAATCCGTTATAATGAAACATCCGCTATAGTATAATAAATAATTTTTTAAAAAATTTGATTTCTCCGCTATAGCGAGGGATCCGCCATAAAAATTTTATGTAGCGTACCCCCACGATTTTGTACTTGGGATTAATCAAGTATGTGATTGTAAAAGATCCGGGTATGTTGATAAATTTATCTAAAGGCAAATTATATAGTGTGTGATATCTTTTATATCTTTTCTTTGTTTTTAGAATTCTATTACCGGTAAGTGATTTGTCAACCTAATTGCATTTAAAGTATCTTCTGTATATAAACCCCCCACATAAAATACCCTCCACCTGACAAAGTACCTACCGGCTACTAATCAAGATTTTGTCCCAGGAATGTAAGAGACCTGGGGTACTACTTGCCGCAAATTACGGTATAAACAATTTTAAAAGATATATATTTATATATGATTCACGTGATTCCGGTTCTGGTTCGAATTCAAAGGACATATTTACATTCAAGTTTGATTTTAAACTTGTTAGAGAACTGATACAATATATACGTATTCAAAACATGATCAAAGGTAAACTAGGATTATGTAAATAATTAGCCTATTCAGATGATGTGATATTCAGATAAAGAAATACATCTAAGCCCATGGATACCCATGAGCTTTATGGTCGTTAAAAGTTGAGCCCATACATAAACGGATAGAACGAGGATTACTACTACCCTTCCCTACCGACCCCTAGTTCTGTGACATTATTTCTTTACGATACGGCAATACAGAGTGACATTAACTCCAATGAAATTTTTTTTTTCCGTTGTTTTCCATCGTATATGATCGATATCTTGTAAATATTATGTACTATACTATTTATTTCCAAATCGCGTCGTTTCCAAAGAATCGATTATTAAATTAATTACCGTATAGTCGCGAAATAATGCTCTAGACGTTATGTCTAGACACAATTTAAAGAGAATTAAGAAAATTTAAAGAGAATTAAGAATTTAAAATAATTTTATTTAAGATCTTTGACTAAACTTAAATGGACTCAAATAACCCCCGGAACGTTATTTCGCAACGATACGGTACTTCACTTACTTACACCTTTACTGAGACTATTGTTTTAGTTGACAAAAAAAAAAACGCAAATAATGCTTAATCTAAGAAAATGTATAGAGCTATGTATAGGATTGATGATACTGATTAGATAAATTATCCTATACATCAACACGAACGTAATAAATTTCTATTAGTTAAATTATTCATGCAATAAAAGATCTAGTATAATATTCTTTTAAATATACTTAATTTATTACTTAATTTATTGCTTAAATTTATTACCGTTCTGAATATACTGACTGACAGTATTAATATTTAACGAAAAGGCATTAAATAAAGAAAGGTAAAACTTAAAGGAAGGAATACATGCCAATGATCAGCTGGTTTTGCACCAAAATCCAGCAAAAAAAAAAAAAAAAAAGTCCCGTATATTGATTACATCAAAAATATGTAATAATAATAACAATAAATATTACGAATATTCATAATACAAATTTTTTGAATGGTCGGCTCCAGTTTTCCCATCCATATTATTATTATTATCATATTGAAGCACCTTTATCATTCTACTTTTGCTCTTCGCGTCTTTTCTGCTAGAACCACTACTATTTGAACTCACAAAACTATTACGATTGACCCCAGGATTGACTCCAGCCACACTCTTACCATCAGCATCGACAACAACAACACGAGAATGCATCACTTCAAATTGTAATATAGGACTCATCTTGCATCTTTTTCGATACTTTTTGTAAAAGAATATCAGGAGAACACTGATGACTGTCAATACTATAATTATAGTTGCCGTTATTAAGATTATCGAAACAAAATTAGCTGGTAATGACGAAGTTGGAGATGAAGAATTCGATGCGGTGATATTCAAAGTTGCTGAAGGAGTAGTGGTTTCTGAATCTGGCATTTCTAAATTTTTT